CCGGCCGGCCGGTGTTTTCTTCCCGCCCGGGGGTGGGGGGGGGGCGCGAATGCGCGGGCAGCGGCGGCGGCGAAGAGCAGGCGCGGCTACGGAGGCTTCACCGAAGACAAGCAGCTGGCCGCCCCACGTGCGGAGCCCGGAGCAGCCGGGAAAGCAACGTGATAGGCGCTGAAAAGCCATGGTACTGTATAGGGAGGGTGCAGCGAGGCTGCGGGAAGGAAAACGGGGAGCGGGGCCTCTCACTCGCAGGGACGAGGCGCAGAAAACGGGAGGTGCAAAAAAAACAAACAAAAAAAAAAGAACCCAGCGGCATTTGGAAACAAACAAACACACACACACCCCAAGCCTCACTTTCAAGACGTGGAATACGATGCTCAGGAGCAGGGGAAAATAGATTCTTTCTGTACTCCCATTCCTACAGTCCTCCAACTGGAATCCCTAAAGTAACTTTTCCAAACTCTGCATTGCACCACAGTTAAGAGGAGTTACCTCTTTCTGCCCTGATGTAGTATAGTCTCATGGGAGACTAAACTGATCTCCTTTCAGTGTACTGTACATAAAATTTAATTGCTGTCTTCAGCATTTAGAAGCACTTCAACAATGCAGTTTGTCTGCTCAGAAGAAAACCCGTTGGGCTCAATAGGATTTACAGATGTGTCTAAGATGCAGCATAAATTAACTATATGAGGATCCTCCCCACCTCATCTGCAGTCCTCTTGATGCTGTCTACACCACTGATTCTTAACCTTGGGTTACTCAGGAGTTTTGAACTGCAACTCCCAGAAGCTTTCACCACCAACTGTACTGGCTGGGGTTTCTGGGAGTTGCAGTTCAAAAACATCCAAGTAACAAAGGTTAAGAACCACTGGTCTACGCTATGGACCACTTTGGTACTTTGTCACAAACACAAGGAAATAACTGTTCTCCCCCTCCCCATCTTTTAATCCTAGAACCACCTGGGTATGGGTGGGAATATTTCTGTGCCCACCACATAGTTATGTTCTTCACCGTCACACTTTCCTTTGCCAAAATAATTGTGCAAAGTGTTTCTAGTTACACTGAACCAAACACAATATGTTGAAACATTTTCATAATGCATCTCAATTGCCGAATTCTGATTTCCATTTATAATATCAGATTCAGAGGTGCAAAGACTGACTACAATCTATTGAGAGGCACCTGCGTACATGTTGGGCGTGGCAAGTGAGATGCACACAAGAGACCTGGATCTATAGCATTTCAAAGATACAAGAGTGAACTGCAATACATGTCCCACAAGAAGCATTTCTTATCCACATCATCAGTCTGAGAGATATCCCTGGACAGGTGAAAATATGAGTGACATTGTCTGGGAATGAAGATCTGTCTGGCCTTTTATGTCATGCATTCATGATTTTATTGGCCCTGTTCCTTTTAGTTTGTGGCTGCTGGATTCAGTCAATTGATACCATTTTGCTCAATACTTCATAGATTGCTTTGTTCAAGGTTGTATTCATTTGATTAACTATTGACCTATTGTAGTTGTGTATTAAAGAGCTATATTTACCGCTGTTCATTTGATATAGTGTGAGCATTTAGGATGCTGTTGTGGGGAGAAATGTCATAGAAATAAAAGATGATTATGACATTAAACTGACTGATTGGTTCAAAGTTGGGAAAGGAGTACAAGGCTATATATCAGACCTGGGCAAAGTGTGGCCCGAGGGCCACATACGGCCAGCGAGCCACTCCTGTCCAGCCCGCGGACAGTTTTGAACATCAAAACCATTTATAGCTTTTTGTCTAAAGTTGATCAGTTGCTTATCTTTATCATACCGGAAAAAATGTTCTTTAGTGTTTGTGAAGATTAACAAGTTTAAAATAAAAACAATCATAACATCACTGTTTCATTTTATTTTTAAGTAAAGTTGGTTCGGCCCCCGAACACAGTTCAGATTTTTCATGTGGCCCCCCCTATAGAAATTAATTGCCCACCCCTGCTGTATATTTTCTCCCTGCTTATTTAACTTATATGCAGAATACATCATGTGAAAAGCAGGACTGGATGAATCGCAAGCTGGAATTAAGACTGCTGGAAGAAATATCAACAACCTTAGATATTGAGATACCACTCTGATGGCAGAAAGTGAGATGGAATTGAAGAACTCTTAATGAGGGTGAAAGAGGAGAGCGTAAAACATGGCCTGAAGCTCAACATCAAGAAAAATCAAGATCATGGCCACTAGTCCCATCACCTCCTGGCAAATAGATGGGGAAGATATGGAGGCAGTGACAGATTTT